ATGTTGTGTTTCCATGTTTTATGGGGACATTCCATAGGCGTAATGGTTTTTATACTGTACAAACTGTATGTGCTATTGTCCTACACCAACCCTACACCTAAACCTACACCTTACAGGAAACTTTCTGCATTTTTACAATTAAAAAAAAAACTTTGTTTACATTATTTTTATACCAGTTTTACAAATGACGTCCCCAAAGGGAGGTTTTTGGAGATTTTGTCAGGTCTAGCTCACTCACACACACATTTTAACAATTTATTTAAGTCCACTTAAAAGAAATAACTTACAACACACACACACACACACACTCACACACACAAACACACACACTCAAACATACATATTCACACACACTCTCACACATTCTCTGACACACACACACACTCAGACACTCTCTCTGACACACACACACACACTCTCAGACACTCTCTCTGACACACACACACACACACACAACACACACACACACATTCAAACAAACTCTCTCACACACACACTGTTGTCATCTGAGCGTCTCTGTTGCCACAACAGTCTTGAACTCTACAATCATTTTAAGACAATGTATCTGGTATTTCTGGAGAAATATGAATGAAATACTTTTCCTAAAACAATTCCAAATGAAACGGATTGAAATATACAGAAAAAAACAATCCGGAAACAGAAAATATGAACTGTGAATTGATTGGATGGTGAAAGTGCACAATAAATAAGAGCAATGGATGGTTGAGTAAGTCTCTATTCAAATTATGAAGACAAATGCTGATTTCTTTAAATAATGATACTGATTATTAATCATTCCCAATAAGACCAGAACATGAAATAACTATATAGAGTAATTTTGATTTGAAGTGTACACTACTGTTCAGAAGTCTCTTCTGCTAGGCATTTATTTCATCAAAAATACAGTAAAAAGAGTAAAATATTACTATAATTTAAAATAGCTGTTTTCTATGTGAATATACAGTAAAATGTAAGTTCTTCCTGTGATCAAAGCTGAATTTTTGTGTCAACCGTGATACGCTATACCTTAAAAAATAAAAGAAAGAAATTACTACTTTTATTGAGCAAGGATGCATTACATTGATCAAAAGTGACAGTAAAGATATTTATAATGTGACAAAAGATTTCAATTTCAAATAAATGTTGTTCTTCTGAACTTTCTGTTCATCTGTGAATCCTGAAAAATAAAATGCATCACAGTTTCCACAAAAATATTGTGCGGCACGACTGTTTTCAACATTGATAATAATCAGAAATGTTTCTCGAGCAGCAAATCAGCATATTAGAATGATTTCTGAAGATCATGTGACACTGAAGACTGGAGTAATGATGCTGAAAATACAGCTTTGATCATGGAAATACATTACTTTAAAATAGCGTTACTGATGAATGATTCCCAATAAGACCAGGCTCAAGAATGAAGTAAATCGAGTGGTTTTGATCTGCAGTGTTTTGACTGTTGAATGCTGTATTCCAGCGCTCCACATTTCCAGATCTGGCTCGCGGTCAGGATGCTCTTCCAGAATGATTTAGGCTGGTTTTCCAGCACATTCTTCACTCGCGTCTGTACTCCTCCTCCAGCTGGAGCTTCTCGGTGTTGCTGTGGATCATCGGTGGCTCGCTTTAGGCCTGCAGCTTGTCGAAGCAGCTAAAGTCTGCGGCCAGTCTCCCGCCGGTCATGTCGGACAGCACAGGTCTGAACTCGCAGCCCCACAGGATCTCCTGCGGCAGGTAAGACGTGTCTTGTTTGGGCAGGTTCTCGGCCGTGAGGCTCCTCAGCGGGCTTCACTCGTCCAGCACGTGATAGAAGGTGAGCGGCAGCAACAGGAACGGACACTCTGCTGTTGGTGATCGGGTGAGTCAGCCAGTCAGTTTGTCGCTGATTTAAGAAGCCTTGCCGAGCCATGCAAATTCGGAGCTCTCCGTGACTAATTAATTCGAGACCAACTTATTGAAAAAACAAACAGTGCATGGGTCAGAGAGAGACTGCTTATGGAAGATGATAAACTTACTTTGGATAAGGCTCTCACTCTGGCACTCCAAATTGAAGAAGCTACACAGTGTGCAGCTAAAATAGCGGAGTCTGATGCAGCTAAAACTGATGTCACCTCTGTACCTGCAAATACAGTCATGGATGAGGAGCTCCAGCCTGCAGGTGCAATCATCCAGCAAACACAGCCTCAGTCAAGTCAACAAAGACGGAGATGTGGCAACTGTGGCTCCATTCGTCATGCCAACAGGTCCACAGACTGCCCAGCTATCGGCCAAAAGTGTAGACAATGTGGTAAGCTCAACCACTTTGCAAAGGTGGTGCAGATCAAAGTCCAGTTCGCAGCCTTCACCAGCAGTAATTCATACAGTTGGTCCTCACTCAGTCATTTTCTCTACATGTGGTGTGCAGCTGAAATTCCGCTGCTTCTTGA